TGTGTGTGTGTGTGTGTGTGTGTGTGTGTGTGTGTGTGTGTGTGTGTGTATGTATGTATGTATGTATGTATGTATGTATGTAGGTCTAGGGGTGTTCGGGTCTTTTCCCATGTAAAATTAATCTTACACGGGAAAAGACCTGAACACCCCTAGACCTACATACCTGTACCCATGAAAATCTACGAACACACACACACACACACACTTATACACATACACATATATATATAATGTTAAATGTAGGAAATCAATAATCAGGCAGTTCATCTAGGGTTATTATATGCTAAAGCACTCTACAAGAATCTGGACTACTAACAGTCAAAGCAAGTGGTAGATAAGTGGTAGATAAGAGTCAGTGGAATTCAAGATGGGTATGAAAGGACTGAAAACTGATATGCATTTGATCCCTTGGGCTGGTTACCTTTTACATTTAGGATATTTTAGGATAGTACACTATCTATGTGCTTCCTACTTTAACACAGTGGGAAATGTTTCAATTGTCCTTTAAAATGGGCTATGTTGTTTATTGGAAAATATATTGGGACAACATACAATTTTGGTAGTTGGTTGCCTATTCTTGATATAACTGGTAGAAATCACTCTCGCTAAGGAAATTATAGTGTTTTTTTTCTCACATCAACTATTCTGAATCCAATCAATGGAAATGAAATATTTCTTTGAATATCACCTAGAATCCTGGTGTTTTCGTAAAGGATCACAGTTAGATAGGATTTCAATAAAATAGTCAATGTTTAGGTATACAGAGAGGACAAAATCAAGAATGTCATTTTACAAAAATTTATACTTGCTAGGAATCTAGTTTAAAAAAGTCTTTCCTGGAGGCTGAAGAATTAAAATGGAAACAGGAGCTGAATTTTGTCACACCTGTGAATATTTAATTTAGCTAATGCAAGGAACAGTTCCCTTAGCTAAAACATCAGATAACAACATATACATTTTCTTTCTACCACTAAAATTATGTGTTTGGAGAAACCAATTTTCTAGGCAATATTAAAGGATAAATCAATGTATTTTACTTTTTATATACATTACAGAAAAAAATTAGGGTGGCTACATAGCTAGTAATTATGGTAATGAAAATTGGGGATGGGGTTATTGGCTTTTATAATGAGCCAGAGGTGCAGTTTCAGAGAAAATATAATTTTCTGAATATTACATTGTTAACAGGATCCAAGAAACCAAATGAACCTTCATGCCCAGTCAGCATGAGCCATATTATTTGTAGAAAAATAACCATATTTCATATACTCTGATGTCCAATGGAGACTTAGATATGAAATAGAATTATGCATCCAATTATTTAATTTTTATTAAAAAGCTCATCAGCACCAATTTTCTTTCTTTTATGCTTTTCTTGGCATTCATCATATAGACTATGATGATCTTGGTGTTGGTGATAAGGATGATTCGTCACAGTTCTGCCTGGGTTGTAACAATGTAAAAATTCAACATTTCCAATGGCTACATTTTTTTCCCCAGGATGTTCAATATACTGATATTGACTACATGGAAGATAAGAAAGATTTTACTTATGACAAGATAAACTTTGCAGGCCTCCCTGAATTTGTCCAAGACCTTCATGACCATGGGCAGAAATATGTCATCATACTGGTAATTCTGATTAATTTAAATAGTTCAAATGAACAAATGAAACAATTATTGAAACAATTTATCAGCAATTGTTTGCATATAACAGTAGCACTTAGAGTTATATACCACTTCGCAGTGCTTTACAGCCCTTTCTAAGTAGTTTACAGAGTCAGCATATTATTACCAACCATCTTGGTCCTCATTTTACTGACCTCATAAAGATGGAAAGCTGAGTCAACCTTGAGCCAGTGAGGCTCCAACTCCTGGCATTGAGCTGAATTAGGTTGTAATACTGAATTCTAACATGGCACGCCAAGGTTCATATATTGTATGTTACAGCATATATATCTATGCCAAATAGCATGCCTACCCATTACAATTTCTGCTCCTTCCTGAAACATTAAAAGGTTTTTGCTATTTTTTTACTTCTAACCCTATTTTTCTTCCTTATTTGTACTAAGATTTACCTCCATATCAACTGTTTCAGTAAAAGTAATGGGAACCTGATGAAACAGTATTATTTTATTCAGGAACAGAGGTGTCTAATAATTGTTTATCTGCAACCTCCTATAAATCTTCATTGACTTATCTATTTCTGTGGTTCAATGGATCATAAATCAATTTTAAAACAAAAAGCACAAGAAATGTATGATGGAAGTATTACAATATTTTTAAAAAGTTAAAAATGAACAAGCACGGACTCACCTGTTTTATATCTTCATCTTTAATGATGGTCCTTGACTTTCCCACACAATTAAATATACCAAAAGGTTGCCAAGTCTCTCTGTATTCTAATCAATAGTCAATGGATATTGTCATTCCATTCCCAGAAGTTTTTTAAAAAGACATCCAACAGATGGCAAAAAATAAACATAATATTAATTGTGCCTTAGCAGCTGCTCTCCACTGGTACCTGGCAATTTAGTGGCAGAAAGCAAGGCTGCAAGCAAGAAACAAGATGGCTTTTACAGGATCAGGGCATGTTCAATGATGCCACTTTACAAGTCTTGCCCTGCAATGTCGTGATATGGGCATGTAAAGTTGGGGTGACATCACTGAGTAACAGAGTTTGTCAACTTTGTTCTGCTTTGTTGCATAGCAAAATACTCCTGCTATCCCCTGCAGGGGGTACAATCGGTTACATAATTGTGCAAGGGTTTAACATTTGTAATTCTTTTTGTTAAAGGATCCAGCTATTTCTGTCAACAACCTCATGAACAATACACCTTATGAAGCCTACCTACGTGGTGAACAGATGAAAGTTTGGATAAATGAGTCAAATGGAATAAGCCCTCTTATTGGGGAAGTAAGTTGCTGTTTTTAGAAATAAATTTTGAACCACTTGAACATTACTATAGCAAATACGTGTCTAAAATGGACAAAGAGAAAGGAGGAGAAAATTGTACTAATTCAGAATCATCTGTAAAACTGGGATCTCTTCTCCACTCCATTTATTTTATTATTTAGTACTCTGAAGAAACCCATTGTATTTTTTCTCCCTTAAAAAGAGAAAGACATAACACTTTGATAAATGTTATACATGTTGATTGCTCTGACTGTGTAGTGAACCTACTTTTTTTTATCTAGTTCGGGAATGTAAATATTGGCACAATCATCAAATTGAGAATAAATCACAATGTTGACAATGGTTATTTTGTCAGATATATTCTGAAAAATTAAATAACTTTTTTTAAACCTAAGAAAACGATAAGAGAACACCTGTATGACTTTGATGAATATAAATCACAGGACCTGAAGAATTATATCCTAGAGTTCTGGAGGAGCTGATAGATGTTATCTCAGAACCATTGTACCAAATCTTTCAAAAAATTGTGAAGCACCAGAGAAGTATCAGAGGATTATAAAAGACTTGATGTGGTTCCCATCTTCAAACAAACAAACAGACAAAAACAACTATAACAAGAAGAATTCAGGAAACTACAGACAAATCAGCCCAACATTAATAATTTATTGATTTATTAGAATTGGTCAAAGAAAAATGCAAACAAGAATAAAGCATAGTCACCAAACCAGTAGAAGCACTGGTTGAATCCCACCCCCGAGTAAGACCACACTTAGAATACCAAATCCAGTTTGGGTCACTACATTACAAAAAAGATATTGAGAAGCACTAGAGGGCAAGACAGTAAATTACAGATGGAAACTAATCAAGAAGAGAAGCAACCTGGAATTAAGGAGAAATTTCCTAACAGCAATGGCAATTAACCAGTGGAACAGCTTGCATTCATAAGTTGTTGGTGCTTCATCAACGAGAGATTTTTAAGAAAAAACAGGACAGCCATCTATCTGAAATGATGTAGGGTCTCTTGCCTGAGCAGAGTCTTGGATTAAAAGATCTCCAAGGTCCCTTCCAGCTCTATTCTGATTCAATAGAGCTTACTAAGAATCTTCCTGGTCTGTTCAGCAACCTACAAGTTATTTTATTAGATTATTAGTAATTTCTTACATAATGTTTAGGTCTGTCACTATGAAGGTATAAACATTCCATTCATTCTGTATCATGCTCAATAAGTCATGACAAACAGGTCTGGGCAGATGTATAATACTCATATAAAATATTTAAATTAGTATAGCAATTTTATCTTGCATTTGATGATAACACATTCAAATTTCTTCTCTCCCTCAGTGCATTTATTTGTTTAAATTATAGAGAAAATATTTACTAGATGAGAAATTTGATGTTTTGAACATTGTCTACAATAACTTACTCATATTTACAAATTAAGGCAAGCAGAATTTGCTACCTACCTACCTATCCATCCTAAAGCATGAAATTTTAAAAAAGTTGGTTTCTTTGTTGATAGCCATTTGCTAAGAATTACAACTGATTTACATTTCCTTACAGTCCACGATTTCTAGGTCTCTCTCACTTCTCCCCATCTCTATATACATACAAAAATATATATGCACACACATAAAAATGTATGCAAGTATATACATATATACATATATATATACACATATGCACACATATATGTATATCTATACTTATATGCATACAAAAATTATGTAAAAAAACCAGATGTATATGCATGTGACAGATATATCCTATTATGGGGACTTATTTAGGTGTCAGTGTTTTGTGTGTATTTTCTTAAGAGAAAATAACTGGAGCAGAACTCAGCAGTATGTTATATATACTATCTATAAAAACACAACAAAGCCAAATGTCATTTATGATATCCAGTTAGTTGTCTAGTTGACAGTTTCTTGAAGTGGTACTGTTACATGAGAAAGAAACAATTTAATAAAAACAGAATTTCAGTATCTAACATATGATTGCATTTTTCTATTTTACTGTCTTCCCATGCATACATAACAAGTTTTGTTTTTAATACAGATTACTCAGATATTCCACTTGTTTCATTTTGCTTAGAATCTTGCAAAACTGTTTTAAGGAAATACTTATATATTTTGGTAGACCACTTTTATACTTTTCTTTAACCTACAGGTGTGGCCAGGAACAACTGTCTTCCCTGATTTTTCTAGTCCTGAAGCTGTTCTGTGGTGGGCTTATGAGTGCAACAATTTTCACAAAACAATCCATTTTGATGGACTTTGGATTGTAAGTACTATTTAGAAGTGAAGAAACAAATATTTTCTAGCAAAAATACTTAGGTAAAGGTAAAGATTCCCCTCGCACATATCTGCTAGTCATATGCTGGCTGTAGTGGGTGGTGCTCATCTCTAATAGAAAGCCAAAGAGCCAGCACTGTCATAAGATGTCCTGTGGTCATGTGGCCAGCATGACTAAAGGCCGAAGGTGCAGAGAATGCTGTTACCTTCCCACCAAAGTCCCTAATTTTCTATTTGCATTTTTACATGCTTTCAAACTGCTAGGTTGGAAGAAGCTGGGACAAGTAACGAGAGCTCACTCCATTACATGGTGCTAGGGATTCGAACTGCCAAACTGTAGATCTTTCTGATCAACAAGCTCAGAATCTTATCCACTGAGCCACCATGTCCCTTTTTTAGCAAAAATACTTAGCAATAAGCAAAAAATATGCACCTTTAAGTTTCGATTCTTTTCATAGGCAACAATACATTCTTCCCAAGGAATATAAACTTTGTATAATGCTTTGATTTTTTAAAATACATGGTTTTTAAAGTTTTTTTATTGTTGGTATAGTCTAGTTTCTAAATCTAGCTCAGCTCCAAGGGATTACATGAAAACATCAATTTTGGGTTTTTTTTAGCAACAATATAGCAGAATAGCCTTGTTCCAGTTTGATATCTTATTTTTCTGGTGTAAGCCTGAAGGTTTAGAATTTTCTCGTGGTTTAACAACCCAAACACTAATAAAATTTGATTTTTGGTTACATATAAAATCAGCCAAAGTCTGCTGTTTTGATTTATTGTCCATAGCAACAGAAATCTCCCATTGAAAAAGGAAGGCTGTCTCTCTTGGTAAAGAGTTAGAGAGCTGAGACAGGCAACAACATTTGAAAAAACTAGATGAATAACACAATTCAGTTCTGCTATTCACTTAAGAATTTGATAAACAGGCATTGGAATTTCTCTGTAACTGGCTTACAAAATTCAAAGGTAAACTTGAAAATTGTTGCCATGATGAGTTTCGTCAGTCCCCAAACCCCCCATTTACTAGAAAGTGGGTCATATTTTTAGAGGAAAATGTTTGTGGCTCAGGGTTGAAATGATAGGTCCTCAGTTCTCTCTGAGCTTGGTTGTTTTCTTGGCGACATTTCATCACCGATAATAATTACCTAGTTTAGATAATGAAATGTCTGCAAAAATAAAAATCAAGTTCAGAGAGCACTAAGGACCCTTCAATCATATATCTTCTCTAGTAAGAGAAGATATATCATGGTATATATGATACCATGGGTACCTCTCTGTCAGGCATTATTATGGCAGTTAAATATGTTGCTAGGAGTGGTTGCTTTTTAATTTTTTTAAAAAAAGTTGAATAGGACATGGGTCCTGATGAGTTATGTCTAAAGACCACAACTACAAATCCACGAATTTCTCTGAATCTTTTCTCATAGGACATGAATGAAGTATCCAATTTTGTCAAAGGATCAAAAACTGGTTGTGCAGCAAACAATTTAAACTACCCACCTTTTACTCCAAGTACGTTCTCAACTGAAATCAAAATTATTTGATTTCCATGCTAGATTTTTTCCTATATCTGTGTATGTAAGATCCTTAGATAGAACCTGAGATATTTTCATAATCAGATTCATTTACCAATTGTTAAATAATGCTACAACATAGTGATTCTTCTGGAAGATCAGAAAAACTAATTGCTAAATTATCAGATGATTGTACAACTTGTCACGCTATCTCTAACTAAAAGAATTTTAATTGGTGGATTTTTAAATCCAAACAAATAACTTCAGTGCAGCAAGGTTAAAAAAAGTGCTACTATTTTATATATATATATATATATGAATTAAACCACATCTAATTTGATATAGAATACAGAATACAGAATAACAGAGGTAGAAGCAATCTTGGAGGTCTTCTAGTTTAACCCTCTGTCCAAATAGGAAACTCTATACCATGGATTCAATCTAACTAGGAATTTTTATTCCTTTGGATTCCTATATAATCGTGTCGCAATTATTTGTAATAACATTTATTTCAAAACAGAGAAGTATTGAATTAATTAGGAAGTATCTTATTTAATACAAGCTCTGATTGCATTCATAAAACTGATTTAGAGATTTGATCAAGTAATTTTCAATTAGCTAACTCAATATTGAATATTAACCTTATTAAAAACTAGTCTAGTGTAGTGGATTAAAGAAAAGTGAAAAAAATTACTTTAAAAAATGGAATACCACAAAAAATGACATTTGTTTATCTATTCTTCCAGAGAGCTATATATTGACATGTTCAACAGAGATTGTTAAATTTAATGGATTTTTAAAATCTCTTTGTTTTGCAGAAATTCTGGATGGAGTTATGTATTCAAAGACACTTTGTATGGATGCAGTCCAAAAGGCAGGGAAACACTATGATGTTCACAGCCTCTATGGTTATTTCATGTCTATAGCTACTGATAAGTAAGGAATTATGTATTCTTTTTTCCCTTTAATTCATCCAAACTAATTTGTGCCAGATTTCCTTTGTTTCACTTTGGACTGCAACAGCTAATCAGAAGAATACAAATCTAAGAATGTGTCTTAGAAAAAAAATGATTAATTTACTACACAGCAATTCCATTAATTTCTCTACTAGTAGCTTAACGCCCCCAGGAATGAAACCAAATTTAATTTTTTTTGCAATTTGGAAAAACATGCTTATTGATATAATCCTTCTTCTGGATTGAAAGGTCATCTATTTAGTACACACAGATTATAAGATGTGATCTGAAAGTGTGGCCCATATTTAATACTCTATTCACACTAATTTTTCAATAATTTGATGGATTTGTTGTCAGTACAAATGCTATGTTGAAACCTGCCTTCCATTTTCTCCAAATTTTTTGTCCCAACAAAATAAAGCTATTCCTTAATTCTATAAATTCATATTGTTTTCAGAGCGCTCAAGACTATTTTCAGTGAAAGTAGAAGCTTCCTTCTTTCCCGATCAACATTTTCTGGTTCTGGAAAATTCACAGGACATTGGCTGGGAGATAATTTTGCAACTTGGAATGATATTAAATGGTCAATACCAGGAATATTAGAATTTGGTCTATTTGGATATCCTTTTGTAAGCTATTTTAACTATAGTAACTGTTAAATTTTGTTATAGTAAAATAAGATAAAGTTTTGGATTAATGTATCTCTTTAGGGGAGATCTATGCATACGATATTCTTTAGACTTGGTTTACACAACATATAATTTAGTAAATTTCAACTATATACTTTGAAGTGCCTGACTATCTCTTTTCTATTGGAGTAATCCTTTGGTAGGCTGCATGAATTGAGGAACTCTTCGCCCTCTATGAGGTTGGTTGTTTACTTGCAAATGTTTCATTACTGGACTATGTAGCACCATGCTGATAATGTCACATGGTTGGGCAGTGAAGCATTTGAAAGCAAGTTCAAACAGCACCAAGGATCCATACTTCGACCCTGAGCTACCTTTATTCTCTCCTGCGGTATGATCTGCAATTCCAAAACAGTACCACTTTGCAGTGTGGCAATCCAAAGAATAAAGATGAGACAGAAATATGTATTCAGAAAACAAAATTATTTTAAAAAGCAAAAATATGGATTTAAAGGTATCTCAGAATAGATGGGGCAATGGATTTTTTTATAAGATCTTTGTTATTATTTTCTTTCTAGTTTTAAAAGTAGCTGAGAATCAAAGTTACTGAAAGGACAACAATGTGATATGAATTTCCTCGTCTCATAAGGAAAGCTAAAGTAGATTCTTCCTCTTGTTTTTTTTTAACACTGAATTGAGGCTGATTGTTTGTTTGTTGGAAAAGACATTTATTGCATCAGCTACTATACTATGCAATATCTAATCACCCGAAGCTTGTCTTTTTTCTGTATTTGGGCTTTTATAAAAATATACATTGAAAAGCTTATAAATTTGACTGATTTTTCATAGGCTGGTGTCTTAATCATAGAATGTATATGTATGTACATATGTATTCATGCATATACATCCATGTATGTGTATATGTGTACATACATATATATGTATAGGTACATATACATATAAATATATTTAGAAAAGTCAGATACAAATATTTACATATACTGTAATGGCTGATCTCATTGCTATTCTATCCTATTTCTCTTTGCTCAATCATCCAAACATGATTTAGATTTTTTAAAACCTCTATCAAAGACCAGTGTGAATCAATTTATACTGGTCATCTGAGAAATGATTAATGTGGAATTTGTAGATATGATAGCATCACATTTTATGCAGACATATCATACGGTATGTCAATGATTTTTAATGTGCTTCTCTTTTAGATTGGGGCAGATATTTGCGGCTTCCTTGAAAATGTCTCAGAAGAACTTTGCAGACGATGGTTGCAACTTGGAGCATTTTACCCATTTTCTAGGAATCACAATGCTGCGGCATATGCTGTAAGCCCAATTTTAAAATTAGATCAAGCTTCTGATTGTTTGAAGGCTTTTTTCCCCCCAGTAACTTTATAAATACTTATTTCTAGCCTAAAGATCCAGCATATTTTGGACACAACTCACGTTTGGTGAATTCAACGAAACACTACCTGACAATACGTTACAGTTTGTTGCCATATCTCTATACCCTGTTTTATAAAGCACATACTCAGGGAGAGACAGTTGCAAGACCTGTTCTACATGAGTAAGTTTCAGCTTTTAAGATTTTGGGTGATGGGAAAGAACTTTACACTTTCCATATTTATGTATCCCTACATTTACATTTATGTCTTACACACACAAACACATAGACAAATGCACATAGACACCGACTTTCTAGACTGTATTTATAGACTCAAGTAGTTAATCCCAATATTATTTCAGATTAGAAAGATAAATTCTTTAAAAGTCTTGTCCCAGAAGAAAGTTTCACAGATTTTAAATTTTATAAACGTTTTAAAACAAGAAAGTAGCATGCCTCTATTCTGTTGTGAATTAGAACAATCAAGTGTTAAGTATTATCAGAATATTATTATTCTAATGAAGATTTAAAGAACCACATGCAATGCTTAAGACTGGATACAACAGGTTCTTCAATTGGCTAGCATAGATAGATAGATAGATAGATAGATAGATAGATAGATAGATAGATAGATAGATAGACAGACAGACAGATAAAGCAAATAAGCATGCTTTGGCATTCTGAAGGGCATCGCTGAAGCTCTAGATTCATTTCCATTTCAGTGGGAGGATTATAGCAATGTATAAGGCTTATTCTCACAGGAATAAATAGACAATTATCATAATTAATCATTATGGGATGTGCAGTTAATAAACTCCAGGAGAAGTACTCTTAGTTTCCAGCAAGCTAAACTGCGGAAAAATAAAAACCATCTCTATGCCTGGACCTCACTGATGCTTGAAGATATCTGGAATTTGTTCAAAACATTGTAAGCATTTCCTAACATTCTGGGGATATTTTTGTAGACACTAAAGCTGTGTTAAAATCTGCCTTTGCAATTGCTTAGAAATGTTCTCCCAGTGCAAAAGAGCTTTCCCTTTTCTACCTTATTCTCAGAAGGATGAAGGATTTTTTTCTAATTTATTTTGATAATGTATTTAATCTGATTTTATTATTAAGGTAGTAGAAAGTGCTGTTGTTTTTGCTGCTTTCCGACACAGAGGCTTTCTTCATTTTTATGTCTCCTTACTTGCCTTTGCTTCCTTCCAAGAAAACAAGTTCCCTTGCAATGCCTTGTATCTGGATTTAATCAAATCAGGGAAAGTCAGATAGGTTGCAAAACATTGGTGAGATGATAGTACAATGAAAACCAGGATATTTATATACATAAAATAGAATATGCATAATAGAATGCATACATATATGCATACACACAAACACAATTTCATATTTAAAGTAGCTTATGACTTTACAGCCATCAATAAGACAGAGAAAGATGAACAGTATATAAATCTGCTTATATCAATATTTATGCATTAATCCAAAATATGGTCTGAGCGACAAAGCTTTAACATGGAATGTTAAATAGACAATGTTTAAGAATATATTGCATATTGAATACAAATGCACTGGTTTCATCAGAGCATAACTAAACCTACTTTTTTTCATGTGCCAATGTCAACTAGTGAGTTGTCTTAAAATATGAAACCCGCTCTTTACTCTTATACTTGAAATTGTCAATAGTTTTTCCAATGCATAAATAGTTATTTAAGATTCACCAATTAGAAAAACATAACTTTAATAAAGTAATATTTCTTTAGATTCTACTCCGATGAAGCCACCTGGACTATAGACAGACAATTCTTGTGGGGACCTGGACTACTTATTACTCCAGTCTTAGATCCGGTACATTTAATTTTTATTAAGTTGGAATATACGTAAGTGTTGTTTTGCAGTGAGTACATGCTAAGCCTGCATTACAATTTCTGTTAAATGATGAATAGAAGAGTAGAAGTAATAAAATAATTTAAATAATTGAGTGAAAGAGATGAGCATGTCCTTTTTCATCACAGCTACTTCCTATCTCCTTTTGTGTTAGACCTGCCCCAGTCCAATCCCTTAGGAAAGAAAGACTCTCATTCTATTTGGTTGAAGTGATAGATTTTTTTTAATGAAAACATGCTGGGTACAGTAATGTCAGATTAGAAGTAAATTTTCCATGCTAAAAAGATATAGAAAGTTTCCCCTCATCTCAATCCTCCCTTTATGGTCAGTTTGTGTTCAGCAAATGAAGATTGCCTAGGGGGTTTAAGAGTGCTGAGATGTTTGGGGTAATCCATATTTCTTCTTAGGGTGCATGGCCTTGACGACTGGCACAAACTGGTTTTGAACTTCTCTGTTCTTTGTCAAGCTCTCATTTTCCCCCTCCCTATTTCTCATCACATACTGATACAGGTTTATTGCTCATTTGTTCACCCACCCATGCCAGTAAGGCACCAAGCTGAAGATGGTTTACCTGACATTTTGTGTTAAGAAAAATCCAGTTGCTTTTCAAGTAATGTTAGCTTTACAAACTTCAAGTACAAAGTTTGCCCTTTGCTTAACTAAAGGAAATTTTGCAAATGATTATAAAGAAAACCTTTCTTTCTTTCTTTCTTTCTTTCTTTCTTTCTTTCTTTCTTTCTTGTTTCAGTGTTGCTTCAAAAACTACACCTATTTCTGCCACAGATGAAAATCCACCAGCATATATTATTGATAGCTTGATAATCACTTTCCATTCTCCAAACCTTCCATGTCTACAGTCATTTTAGAGGATTTTGTGGTGGAAATAGCAATTGACATTATAATATGAAAAAAATGCTTGACAAATAATTTTTCCAGTAGAAAAGTCAGGAAAGAATAAAAGAGAAAGACTTTCACCCTTACCTACCTCCAGCCTAGGAAAAAAAAAAAAAATAATATCAAGGCATTTTCCTTTTATGTTCGTAATAAATGAAATATTTTCTTTTTAATATTTCAGGGCGTTGATAAGGTAACAGCATACATCCCTGATGCTGTATGGTATGAATATGAGACAGTAAGTGCATGTTTATTACAAAATGTCTCCCCTAAAAGTCTACTATTAACTTTTCAAATTAACTCTGCTGTGTAGCAATCTGTACATCATTTAGTTATACCCTTTAAAATGCATATGTGGCAAAGGTCTGGAGCTGCATAGAATTTTGTAGGGGTACTCAGACACAAAAGGTCAAATCAAAGTGCTTAGATTCTTTGGATCAAAGAGAATATTTCACTTTCACTGAAGCATTGCTTTAATCAGGTTACTTTTGATGATTAAAAAAGAAGTAGTACATCAAACAAATTGTCTAGCCTTTCTAAGAAAGTCGTCTAGCATGTGAGTGGGTTGTTGAGAATTTTATATTTTAATACTATCCTGAAAAAAAAAGCAAAAGACAAGTTGCAATACAATATTTTTTAAGAAGCACATGAAGACTATATGAAGCTAAAATTCATAGATAAATTTCACCTTCCAAATTGAATCAAGGTGAATGCCTCCAGTTTCCCTTCCCCCCATAAATGTGACAATTGGATTTACTCAATATGAAGGGAAGAGTTGATTTACTGTATACTAGGTTGTTTTTTTTTAATTGACTTGACCCTTAACCATTTTTTTTCATATAATACAAAATACATCTATAGAGTCATGATATTATTCCTCTGCCAATTCCAGTTATAAAAGGAATATATGCATTCTTCTTTGTTTGTAGGATACTAACAATTTTATGAATATAGTAAACCTTTATTCTAATTTCCTTATAAAAAATAGGGTATAAAAACACCATGCAGAAGACAAGAGTGTCAAATGTTCCTTCCAGAAAACAAACTTGGACTTCATCTTAGAGGAGGATACATCTTACCTATTCAAGAACCAGCCAACACAACTGTTTACAGGTATTTTCTGATACTGGGTTATTCTTAAGATACAGCTGTCACATCTGTTTAGTTTGTTTAAAACACTGATGGTGGATAGTGGATGAATAGACTACATAAGAAGGAAAATAAAGTTGATTTTTAAGCTCACCATAAACAAATGCAATACAGCACAATTTAGCCATTGTCCTTCTTTTGGATATTAGTCACAATAACATAAAAGATATCAGATAGCAAGAGAAAATATAGCTTGATATTGCGAAGGACCTGAAAGGCAGTCTGATGATCCAAAATACATGGTAGGAAGATCAGGACTTTTTTCAGCCCTCTATTCTTGAGAGTTGAAAGGTTTCTTCTATCTAGGAATTTTGGCAGTCTTTCCAGTTGATGGGTAAAATATTACCCAAAACACAATTCCAATACAATATGGAAATCTCCCTGGCATAGATTTAGCTTAATGTTTCCAAATATATAAAAGCAATTAATGTTGTTTGGAGGAAGACAAAATATCCACAATGCATGAACCAATGCTATAGATGGATTGAACATTTATTTTCCAAGTCTAGAACATTTAAAGTTTTGTCTAGAGGAAATGCAACTATTGGTATGGAGAGAAATTCTCTGCATGTTTTTTTTATTAGTTCTCATTTCAAGCTGATGAAAAGAGAATTTGTTCCTTTGAAATCTCATTCCAAGAAGATGAGAACTTGCGAGAGTAGTGTTCTTGCATTTATTTGTGAAAAGGGAGTCAAAGAGGATATGTGAATATCTTTTCTTGCATTATGCAATTTCCTCTGGTAGCTTTGTGGCTACATTATTTTTCACACTTCAATTACTTCTTAAAGAATAATATCACAAAACACAAGGTAATTTCTGCCATATTTTTTTCTCTTCCCCACCTGTTATTGTTATTGTCCTATTATTCAGAGGTCTGACCCTTAAGAAACTATTGAAGATTTTTTCCCCCTTGGGGAAATATGTAGAAATACTTCATCCCATTTTGCAGCCTATGCGGTCTCCAGAAGCTGATTAGAGATACATTTCCGCAGGTGCCATTGATAGGAATGATACTACAGTTAGAATTAGTTCTAGAAGTTTTGTATATATCATCTCTGACCAATAAGAATGAAGTGTAGTAGGGCCTTTTTGCCACTATATTTTTCTCGAGAATCATTGAAATGCATTTATTTGCATCTCTATGCTAGTCGTTGATTGAAAAGGGATTGACTGACTTGGCATTTGTCTACCAAAATGCGTGCACAGATTGTGAAATTTCAAAAGCATGTGCTATAATTGATTGCTCTAATCGCATTGACTACTGTATGGGCAATAAAATGGGATATAATTGGAAATTACAATAACATACACCTATAATTGGTTTGTGATTATGATGGGATGTCTCCCTTGGTTCATAGTAAATAGATCTCAGTTGAAACAATTTAGCTTATTTTCTGTGAGAAAGCTTAATTTAACACAATGATACTTATTTCCAAATAAACATTAATCTTTCACCCCATTATTATTCTCCTTACCCATCACAAATCCCTATATGCTCAATTATTTCATGATATCATTAGAAGAATAGAATGAATGAAAATGTAGTCTTATTATAGAAACTCTCAATATCTGGTCCAATAAAGACAATATGTTTTTTAACAGCCGTACAAAGCCTATGGGACTTATAATTGCTTTAGATGAGAATGGAGAAGCAACTGGAGACTTATTCTGGGACGATGGAATAACAAGAGGTAAACTTACTAACAGAAATAGATATGTGATAGATAGAATGTTAGAACAATAGAACGATAGAGAGATAGCAACAATGGTGGTATTCTACCGGTTTGGTTCGGTTCGGTTCTGGCATACTGGTAGTGCCAAAGAGCAGTGGAGACCGAACCAGTTCTCTCTCATGCTCTGCTGTTGGGCCTACCTGGGCTCCCGTACTGACCTTTATTCCCTGTTTTTTAAGTGCAGCTGCTTTGCGATAGGGAGAGACAGGATTGTAGGAGGGGAATCAGAAAGCCTCTGTGCCTGTGCACGCATGCAAAGTGTGTGCATGCACACAAAGCATGCCCATCAAGCCATGCCCACCGAATGGTGGTAAACTTTTTTGAAACACATCACTGGATAGCAATACCAATAGTAATAACACTTAGACATATAGCACTTTATTGTGCTTTATAGTCCCCTCTAAGTGGTTTTACAGGATCAGCATATTATCCTCAACTATTTGGCTCCTCATTTTACCCATCTTGGAAGGGTGGAAGGCTGAGTCAACCTTGAGCCTGGTGAGATGGCAGTCAGCAGAAATAGCCTGCAGTACTGAACTCTAACCACTGCACCACCTTGGCTCATAATAGATACCATAATAGATTTTAAAAAAATAAGACATCCCCTGAAAGTAAGCCCTAGTGCTTATTTTGGGGTACAAAAGAAAATAAGACCCGGTCTTATTTTCAGGGAAACATGGTAGATGATAGACAGAAAGACAGGAAAATAGATAATAGAGGCAGGCAAGCAAACACATTTATTCTAATTCAAAACAAAGTATGCAAATAATTATGGAGATACATCTTCAGTATGTTAAATTCAAAATTAAAATATGGGCATATTCACATATTTCAGCAATGATCTGAACTTATCAAACTACTTGGGAGCAAGGGGTCCTTTGTGCTCTCTGAGCTTGTTTGTTTTCTTGCAGACATTTCATTACCTAAAGTAAGTAGCATCATCAGTGCTGACAGGGCAAGCCAGTAGAATATAAACTGAGAGAAAAGTTCATTCCTTGCTAGCACTTATGATGTTTATTTATTTGTAAAATTCATTTGCTGCCCATCTCGTATCCAACATCTCCAAGAGGTTACCTAGTTTGTGTAAAGAAATGTCTGCAAGAAAACAAACAAGCTCATAGAGCACCAAGGACTTCTCATTTCAACACTGAGCTACAAATACTTTCATTTATTGGTATTTAAAACTCCTGATTTGTAGCAGTGGCATTTATGGAAATATGGAAAGGATATCAATTCTTAGAAGATTCTCAGATGTCTTAATGCTTAGTGGCAATTCAGCCACTTATTTGCTTGCTAGCAATGTTTTCTAAAGTGCTGCAAAATATCAGTTATCTTTGTGTTTCTTAAATTACCTTTCTCCCTGATTTAAAAAACTTCTGTGTTGCACTATATATAATTATTGGTCACCAGTGGTTATTTAAAAAAGCAAGCAAAATATTGAGATGGTTTAAAAAAAGGAGAGAGAGAAAGAACAATTTAGTGATAATTACTGCAATGAATACTGAATGGCTTTAAGGTAGACTGATGATATTGAATCCCAAAGATATTGGACTCTTTTTTAAAGATCTAAAATAAGCAAATGTTCATTGCATTAATTTAAAATAAAGTAATATAAAATGTTATCTTTTTATTAAACAAATAAAATGTAGGTGCAATGATTTTACAATCAAAAGTACCTGCCCTTAGAATTTGCTAGCAAACTTCCTACTTTTGTTGTTGTTAAGAGAAGATAATATTTAGCAATTATGTTATTTTCTAGAATTTTTATAGGCAAAAATTGTCTACTCTGTATAATAAAGCACTTTGAATCATATAGTTTTATAAAAAGTTATTATGGAAAAAAATGTCTTCCATTTCAAAAAAATTCAACAGATAACAGAATAGAAAAAAAGACACTTCAGTAGTTTATTTTTTCAGTCATTTATTTGACAAATACTGACCCAGGCATGTCATTTCTTGCTGGTTAATAATTTTTAAAATATCTTCTTTCACCATGAACAGACTTTATTGTTCTTTATATCATTTGGGCGAAAAGAAATTTTTTTCTGTGGTTTATTTTAATTAAATTAAATTAAATTACCCTGAATGTGATAGGATGTCCATAATAGCATTTCTTTTTGGAGTGGAGTCATTCAGCTAATTCAGTTTGGTGACATCAGGATTTATAGTTTAGATAGATTGAAGCTCACATTTTCCCAAATACTTCAATTAGGAACTCTGCTGTGTAAAGCATAAATAGTGTATATTATGACAGCTGATCTTTTATAGCCTCTGGCCCCTTTTGGACACCCTAGAACTATGATGATGAACCTATGGCACACATAACGGAAGTGTCATGCAAAGCCATTTCTGCCAGCACCTGAGCTGTCGCCCCAGAGTAATTCCACTGTGCATGCATGCACGCCTCCCGCTGCATATCTGCCATGCATGCACATGAGGAGGGTGCATTTAGGAGAGGCGCCCATATGCGCAGGGGTCAGGGGAAATGGGTGGAGGCATGCATGTGCATCCACATGCGCACTTTCGGCACGTGATAACGAAAAGGTTAGCCATCACTGCCCAGAACATGGGTATCAAACTCACGGTATCATATTGCTGTCACATGATATTTCACAATGTTTTTCCCATTCGCGGAGCTGGGGTAGGCATGGCCTGCACGTGATGCATCCAGTTTGACACCCCTACACTTAAAATCATACCAGTGAATTTCAACAACATTTCATCAAAATTGGTGGGATATAATTTTTTTCTTTATTATGGCATTTCTAACATTGATTGCTGTATGATTTGTCCATTGCTGATAGTTCTATACCATCTATAGAACATTTTATATCACTGTACCTTAGATTGTACTGTAGCTTGGGGTTATATTTTATTTTTTCTACTGTTCTTTCAATTGTTCTATTGATATTATGTCTTATTGTTCCATCTGTTTGATTATTTATAGGTAGATGTTTAGATGGACATCAAGACCAGTTATGAGCAGATCTGCCAAATATTGTTCAGAATTTTAATAATAGATATTTATTACATGCATATTACCTAAGTCTTTAAAATATTTTATTTGATTAATTTGCTTTAATAACTATCTTTGCTATTTAAAAGTACATTTCTCCTTATGTTTTAGATACAGTCAGAAATGAAAAGTATCTCTTATATAACTTTACTGTCACAAATGTAAGTATATTTTCAATAATAATAGAGATTCCCAGAAATTTCATTCAGTTTTTAACTGGATAAATATGTTTAAAATATACAAATTCTTAAATAAAACTAATGGATAGTATGTGACCTGTTATGAAGAATGAATATATGTTTAAAGAAGTACATTTTTTGATATATGTATATTCCTGCCTATGATTTACATGGAACAGCAGAATAAAGGATATTTAAGACATGTGTGAGTCAGAGGGACAAGCATAAAGAATAAATGGGTTAATTAATACAATATGTGGAACAGTGAGAGCATTTTTGGTGTACAGAAATAGTTTGTAAGAATGAAAAGTTATAGAGCGATTAGTGAATAGTGTTGGATAAACTAATATTTGATTTTATATTATTTTATTTTATCTCCAGCTATAATTTATTTTCCTCATAAATCCTGTTTTTCTGCATCTGTGAATCTAATTTAAATAGTTCCCTTACATGTAATAAATATGATCACAGTTTTAGTATTGAGGAAACTTACTGAATGCTAGAGAAAACTCATTTCATTATAACAATTGGATTGCATGATATTAACACATTTGCTTTTCCAAAGGATGTTTATTGTACTGTACTTACAACAAGCTATCATTTATACATGATTTTAGCTTTAAAGTAAATCATACAAAATCATAGAAAATTATAACTAAGATCAGCGAACAAAAGTGTTGTGTAATGATTTTTCTGTCTTCCAGAAAATCTTAACTATGGCAGTTACACGTAAAGGCTACAAAGATCCAAATAATTTGATCTTTGAGAACATCAAGATTCTTGGGCTACCCCTTGAGCCTTCAAATGTGAAAGTAACTTCAAATAATGTGGCTCAGTCATATAATTTGAATGTCAAGTACAATGCTGCAAACAAGGTATGTATTGCTGAGTGTTTTCATAAATTTTAATGAATTCCCCCCCCCCCCCCCATAATATCATTTGCTATTCAAAGATAAGCGTTAAGGTTATATTTACTATATTTATAATGTAGTCAATAAAAAGGTTTCAGGAATATATTCGTTTAGATATTTAAGTGAGAGACACTTAGGTTAGTGTCTTTTCTTTGAAAGCTACCCACACATGCATGCATATCAGATAATATCCAATGGCAGTCCTAGTATTAATTGTGTCCATGTATGCTAACATAGCAAGTATTGAAGGTGCTAAATCGGGGATGTCAAAAGCCCGCGGACCAGATCCCAAACTTCGTTTTTGCTGGCAGAGGGCTAACAAAACAAACTAAAAACAAAACAAAGGGGGAAATGTTTCCTCTTTTGCATTTGAGCATGCAAGAAGGGACATGAAAGGAGAAGAGGAAAGAGGAAAGACAAAGAAAAAGAAAAAGAAGGAAAGGTGGAAAGAGAGCAAGGAAGGAAAAATAAGGAAAGTGGGAAGGAAGAAGAAAGGAGAAGGAATGGGGAAGCAAAAAGAAGAGAAGAAAGGAAAGAAGGAAAGAAAGAAGGAGATTATGAGAGTGAGGGAGGGTCTGAGGGATGTCCTTCCTTAGTACTTGGCCACCAATAGGTGTTTTCAACATGAGTGATGTCGAGCTGGCCATGGCCCTGGCCACACCCCAACCACCCCAGAGGTCAAACATAACCCTCAATAAAATTGAATTTTATATCCCTGTGCTAGATTAACTTTGCTAGATGCTATAATGCTTTAAAAAGAAGTATTTCTTTTATTAATGTTTTATTTTCCAATTTTCAAGCAAGATCCTTTCAAGCCTTGATAAATGTCGTAGTCAAACTGAAGGTGTCAAATTTTAAATAATTAAAACTCTGAAGTTAGAAATATCTTCTACCAGGTCATAAGAGTAGTATGTCTGACAAATATCTTTGTTAAGAAGATACTTGTTTAGAGGAGCAGAGACTAAATAAGCTACAAAGTAATGTATCAAACTATTAATGAAATCAAATCTTATCAACTATGCCTGTTTTCAAGGCATGGCAAAATAAAACTTTGCATAGTTAATTTTGCCCTTCTTCAGCACTGAGTCTAATTGTCAGAATATCTGAATATTCAAATTGGGTATTAAGTATAATAAAGAATAATTCTTGGGAACATTGCTAGGTTTATGATCCTAAAAGAATCACAGGCTCCTAGCAGTTAACAACATAAACATAAAAAAGAGGTCAAAACAAAACAGTAACATTGCATAAAAGCTCACCAAAGAATAACAATCTGTCTTACTGAGCTAAGAAAATCCACCTTCTATTCCCTGAAAGCTTTCTAAAACAGAACTAGTTTCAGTTGCTTCCAGAAGAACATTAGAATGTATGCTTGTCTTGGGAGGTGGGTTAATCACCAAAGAACAATGTTTTCAGGTTTCTGCTCTCCTCATCTCAAAACAAGGGACCAAAACTAGATTTTCACTCAAGAAGAATATCAGATGGGTTAATTATACTTAAAAAAAGGTGGTCCTGAGAGTTTTAAAAAAATGTACAAGGTTTCTCATGTCCAATCTTGTCTGATTTTAGGGGGCACTGCTCATCTTCATTTCCTAGCAGAGGGAACCAGTATTGTCCGAAGATTCTTCTATGTGGCCAGCATAATTATATGCTCAGGCACATGAAATGCTATTCCCACTGAAGTGATACCTATTTATCTACTTTAATTTGTATGCTTTCAAACAGCTAGATAGGCAGGAGTTGAGGCAAGAATGGGGGCCCACTCCATCATGCAGTTCTTGGATCTAGAAATTCTGGTTTCACAATCTTAACTTCTAGGCCATGAGCCAAACCATATAGGTCAGATTTGACTGATACACACACAAAAAAAGACACCTTATTTTAAGAATTTGATTCTCAATAATATTTGTAACCCTATTGTTGTTTTAGTTGTTACTTTGAACATATATCCTTTAAAGAGTGACCCAAAAAGAGACATGGAGTTCAATATGTATTCAGTATTTCTCTTTACTTTCCATATTGAACAAAGAAGACAATTTTTAGACTGAAATAGTCAGCTTTAATATTCATAACCAGGTGGTTAGTAGGGATTTCAAATCAATATTCATACAGCTACTTCTAATTTGATTATGCGGCATAAGTTAATATTTTCCCAGTACTGCTGATCTCAGCATTTTCCTAAAATAATTCTGGTTCTCGCTTGTCCCACATACCTTGAAAAGACCCCCAGAATATACCACCAAAGGTGAATGTATCACCTTTTTTCTTGCAAATCCCTTTGCATTGCAATCTGTTTCTTCAACGTTTAGTCATTCTACAGCTGATTAATATTGCCAGTTGTACATTATTTAACAAATAAAAAAGTAATGGTTTCTCTGACAGTCATAGTAGACTAGAATACTGTTTCTATTTAACCTGCTGCTTCTAGAATATGCTTTTGTTACTATTTTGTTCCCATTTCCTTATTCCTCACCACTCTCACTACGTCTCCCGGTGTGCACTCATTCTCCTAATGGGGAATTACCTCAACATTAAGTGTTCTTTATTAAAGTGGTGAAATCCATTTTGCACATGTGATTTACATGGGATATTTATGTGATCTGTATTTTGGTTTTTATTGTGAATTTCATAGGTTGCTTACATAACTGGTCTTTATCTTAAATTGGGGGAAGAACATACAATATCCTGGAATCAGACTTTAAGAGATATTGACAAATTTGATTGTCATCCTGAAGAACATGCATCAAAAGAAAAATGTGAAGCTCTTCGCTGCATATGGGAAGTAAGGAAAAAAAATCTCATTTTGTCCTTCTTGTGTGTTTTTGCTCTTTAAAGTTCTGTTTGTAGAGTATCTGCATTTTTTCCTTTTTATCTATAGCCACAAATTGGAATCAAAATAGCTTATCGCTGAGCAGCTCTCCAATCAATTCTTTCCTAAATTTTGCTGAGTATCATTTGTTGAGTTCACAGTTGACTGTGAAGCTTCCTAACTGCATACTTTTGAACAGCATAACTGGATTAAATGAAGGCGTACTCACATGGAAGCATTTTTGAAATGCTGTAATTCAGTTCTATAACCTTAATTAGAACTGATTGTAAAAATAAAATGTAAAAGTCACATTATAATGTAGAATTATTGTACCTTCTCCCCACCTAGAAATAGAAAATAATGTGGGGAAAATGCAGATATTTGTATGTTTCTTATTAATTTGAAGTAAAATCTAGGGATATTTCCATATGATCTAAGAAAATGTAAAGTGAACAGGATTGCGGAGTCCTGGGTGCTCTCTGAGCTTGATGGACATTTTTGAAGACATTTCATTACCAAACTAGATAACATCATCAGATGCTGTTAACTAGTTTGGTAATGAAAATCTGTAAGAAAACCTCCAAGGACCCCAGAGGTCAACCCTAAGCTACAAATATTATCTTTTATAAACAGAATTATTTCTAGATTGATTATAACTCTTGTAACCCTCCTATTTTTCTCTCCAGCAATGGTCTATGTTTTATTTTTCAATTCAACTCAAGTTTCTATATCTAATCACATGATGTTGCTTCCCTTGTGTTAGGAATTGATAGTTACCTAACAGTTGGGTTGGAAATATATAAACCAGGATAGACATTTAATACTGTCTCTTTAAGGGAATGCTAAAATTACAATTGGGTGTGGTTCTTCAAACGGCCATAAGATGGAGCCAGAAACCTGGGTTATTTAGTCCTGTTGTTGATAGTTGCTAGTTGGTCAATGTTCTGATGTTTGCTGTTTTTGGTTCCTGCATTTTTCCCTATTGACTGTTGCTGATCATTACTTTTCTTGGATTTATGTGAGACTGATTACTGAACTGTTTATGATACTAGACTTTGTTATTTGGATTATCCCTGGACTGAAAACTGACTGCTTTAACTGTGTATGATTTGGACTGCTTGTTGGACTTTACTTAACCGTTTATTGGAAGTAAAACCTACATTTTATTATTCAGTGTATCTGTGTGCTGGTTGTGTGTTATTCCTCACCACTCTCACTACGTCTCCCTGTGTGCACTCATTCTCCTAATGGGGAATTACCTCAACACCTTGGCTATCATTACCAATAGCAAAATTTGTACTGCTTAAGTTCTGTAGTCCCATTATAAGTGTTATAGGTCAACTAAAACAGTCCATATAGGATGAATATGTGTTTTCCTAAAATCCTTGCAAGCCTCTTAATTGTTGAAATGGGCAGAAAGAGACAAAATGTTCATGTTTCTATATACAAGAAAATTAAATCATTGATATTCAATTCATTAGCATCATGACTACTATAGCTAAGCATTTTTAGTGATTTTAGGTACAGGCCTAACTAAAGGTGAGCATTCCTGCAGAACTAAGTAGATGAAAATGTAGCTACCTAGTATCCCTTCCCAGCAGATTTCTCTTTAATTCCACAAAAAGGGATGGAAAAGGACAATATTTGTTTATTATTCATGAAACTCCCTGCATGTCTCAAGCTCTTTCATAAGAAGAAAGATATTGTGAGTTGTAGGGAGAAAAAGACATGGCATAAAATAATTTTGCATTCTTTTGGGTGCCGTAAAAAGGGCTTTCCTCCTGCAGAAAATGCCAGTCAGCTTAAATCCCCACTTAACTCTCAGTTAGTTGAATCAATAGATGTTAAAAGTCCATAACTACATTGGATTCAACTCTTTCTAAATATCTTGCTGTGTTTGTTTCCCATAATAATTCCAATAAGTATTCTTTCAGCTGTATACTAGCTGCTGAATCTTTTTAATCTGATCAAACAAAACTTGGTGGTCCTTTTAGCATTAAGCTATAATTCTAATGAAATCTCAAATGTTATTTCATGTTGCATAGTAATTATGATATTTAATGCTTCTTGATTCAATTCATGGCAATGGAAATTTTGCCATTCCAATGACAAAGGGTGCTTCTAAAGATAGAAATCTCAACAGTGGCGTAAAATTTTATCCACCTATTCAATTTCAATGCTCACAGTGCTACAGTTGACTTTGAATTTGTAATCATATTTCAAGTTCAGACTAGGCTATTTGTTTTGCTTTTCTTTATGGTCTGGGGCATTAAATATATGATTTATATTGTTTTAATTCTTATATATTTTCAATAAAATTTATTTCCTATTGTGGTATTCATTGTTATAATATGATGCCCCTTTACCCTCTTCTGCAATAAGCCAATCTAACATCCTTTATAAGGAAAAATAGCATGGAAATAAAATAAATGAATGCATAATGATAGAACTGGGTACGACAACAGTATGTCTCGTTATATAGAACAAATCCCACCCCCCCATTTTTTTAATACAATTCTATGAAGGCATTCAGTACTAGCTATGTGAAACCTGATTTGGAAAAGTCTTGCAAACTAGTTGTAAATATTGATTCTAATAAATTCAGAAATTTGGATTTAATCTCTTTCCAATTCTATTCACTCACTGATATATTCTTTTTATTTTTAATAAACTAGCCTTCTCCTGTTGATGACGTTCCAGACTGCTACTATCCTCCTGACAATGGTTACACGGTGGACCAAATTGAATATACATCATCTGGTTTAACAGCCAATCTTGGTAGAAACATTGACTTTCTTAGAGTTTCAGGACGGCAAATCCCCCTCATTGACAAACTTCGTTTGGAAGTAAAATATCATGACAATAACATGCTTCAGTTTAAGGTAAACCTCTTTCTAAAATGTTATAGTGGGTTATTTTAGAAACAAATTGAGGGTTTTGTCATTATTAATAAAGAGGTTGATTCTGGCTATCTGGTTAGAATTTTACCAAACTATCTGGTTTCAAAATATGAAACATAAAATATAGAAAAATAGAACTATTGATATATTGTATCTTGGTAAATACATTTTAAATTCTTATTAGAATCTTCATCTAATCATTTAACTTTTCAGCACCAGTTCATTTCAGCCTATTTTTGAAGTAGTGATTTTATTTTTATTTACCTGTGAAGAAATATCAATATCCATTTTCTTTTCAATTTTCCAATATAGACATTTTTTGCAAGTTCTGTTCCATCAGAAATGCATTGATATACAATTTCTCCAGTGCAGCTATATATAATTTCTTTATAATATTCTTTTGGTTATCCAAATACACCCCCCACCCCCACAAACACAGATACACTTTGCACAGACACACTTTGATCACACTACAGTTGTTTTATAACTCTAATTCAAGAGAAATTGAAAATAGATACAAATATAAATCTCTTAATCCTCGATTCTTTACTTTTTTAACTGGAGTTTATTGACCACATTTTCTTAAGGGAACCCATTCGCCTGTCTTGATATTGATTAGAATCTCTTTTCTTTGTTGGAAGATTATAAGTAAAACTTTTTGATGTGTTAAGAAACTTTTATCATCATTAAACAGGAGAATATTATAAAATGAACAAGCAGGTCTCCAATAAATGTTTTATGATCAGGTTTTAAACCTAAGACTTTTATTTTCAGATTTATGATTATAATAAAAAGAGATTTGAGGTTCCAGTGCCTCTGAATCTTCCCCAAACACCTATAAGTACTTTGGAAAACCGTCTCTATGAAGTGTCAATTCAGAATCACCCATTTGGAATTCAAGTTCGACGCAAAAGCACCGGAACAGTCCTGTAAGTAGAAATGTGATATTACAGATGAAATATTTAATTGGTGAATTAAAACATGTTGTGAAGAATGTTGTGGATAGACGATAGCATTAAGTACTACATGTAAAATTGCACATATTTAACAAGGTTGATTTAGCTATCAGTGCTATGGTATCAGGGGACTTTTCTTAAATTAATATCTCCCTTCACCATTGCTATTACCTTGATGGGAAATCAAATCATTTCTGGGTTAATGAATTGTTTGGCTGATTGACTAATAGGTGGACAAGACTAGCTTCTTAACTAGACAAATTTCATTTCATTTCATTTCCAATAAAATTCCAATTATTTTTTTCCAAATTTTCTATTTTTTTTCTATGTTGTTGAAACATCAGTATACTATTCTTAAAATCCCCTAGATTTTGCTTTACTTTAAACTTTTCAGAAAACATATGTGAATCAACGTAATTGCAGTTTCTTTTATGCTCATCGGGTAATGAACTAAGTTTATCGCCTCTTTTACCTCTCTTCTGCTGTGATTAAACATCATGGAAAAATAAGCAAGAAAGTACCACAAGAACATCAAAACCTTGTCAGTGCTTTATACACTTTTTTTAGAACCCATAGGAAAATGAAGAAGCTAATAGAAAAGGACACTTGAGATAGGAAGAAAATAAATGCTAACCTTCAGTGAGGAAAATAGTAGAACCGTAGAAAAATCCTTGGTGGAAGTCTAATTTAAAAAATACAGAAAGGAAATGAAAGAAAAAGAACAAGGAAGAGTCCATATAGATACCTGGGTACTGTATTTGGAAGACTAAAGGTCAGAATGAGCTACAAAGCAAATGAAAATGCTAAGAAAACTAAAATTGGCTTCTCCAGACAATTCTAATAAATAAAAGAGAATCAATGTATCAGAATTATAGAAAGAATAGAATAAAATAATTAATTTAGATTACAGGAAAGCAGATTGCAATTGTGTGTTAGAAAATAACTTATCCAGAATCAGAAGAGTTTGACAGTTAAATCAGTTCCACTGAGAATTGTGGATTGTCTTTCACTGGAGCTGTTCAAAATTGGAGGCTACATTGGGGCTGATTTGTTTTCAATTCTTGAGCTAAGCAGGACTTAAACATGGCCTAAGTCCAACTCTATGATTTTCCAAAATGTTAGAATACAAGTGCAACTGCTTAGCATTGTTGATTTCTATCATGATGTATAGGAGATGATGCCATTACATTCTATAAACTGGGAATATTTCTGCATCTAGCTATCCAGCGGGTTTAATCAACACCTATCAGTATTCTGGTTTCTTTCATTTCTGCATTTTGAGTCTCTTGCTATTAACCTTTCAAGAACATGTCAGTTCTCTAGGAGGGCTATCTAAATCCAGAAATTAAAAGAGAATTGTTTCAAGGTTTGAATGCTATGCAATTTTAAAATTCACTGATGAATCAGTGATGTATAGAAGTGAGGTCAACAGTTCAAAAATATATAAAATGGAAGAGCTGTAATGATTTTTTTCCATTTCTCAACATCAAATTGAATACTCTTTTTGTTTTAATATCCCAAAGAAAGAACTTTGTGTTTTGATGATATTAGAAAATGTCAACAAGTATTTGGTCTCTTTGCAACAGCAATGACATTTTACTGCAAGATAGAAAAATATTTTTTCTACTTTATCCTGCAAATGATTGAAAACTCAACATCTTCATGTTGCATTACTATTTATAAGTTACTAATATAATTTAGTCTTGTTTGATGTTTTATTATAGTTTAACATTTAATCATTGTTTTGACTGCATTTTTTTTTCCTCTTTATAGTTGGGATTCCCAGTTACCTGGCTTCACCTTCAGTGATATGTTCATTCAGATTTCCACTCGCCTACCTTCACAGTTTGTATATGGGTTTGGAGAAACAGAGCATAAACAATTTCGGCATGAAATGAATTGGAAAACCTGGCCAATGTTTGCAAGGGATCAGCCTCCTGGGGTGAGTTTCTTTTTCTTGATATAATTCACCTTCACTTATTTATTGTAGCTTTTAACTGAATAAAGAGGCTAAATTAATGCCTCACAGTTCTTTTAAAATGAAATGTATACATTTATTTATAATTCTTGTACATCACTTTATTTCATAATGGTTCTATGCAGTTAGAAACATAACAAAAGACATATCAAAAGTCCACAGTAGTCAATATTAATAATCAATTAAATTAAAATGGACATGCTAATAAGTAATAATGAAATGAAACTATTTGCATGTTACAATTTTTATTGTTTTATTTGTTGTAGTTATACTACTTAGAATATAATCAATCTTAAAAAAAAATAAATCAAGTAAGAAAGTAAGCATAAAGCATTATATGAAAACAATATAAAGCATCATATAATCAATCTACAACTCTCTGGAAAAGTTCAACGTTCATCAATTTCTAGAAATGGTTCATAATAGGCAAGTCCAGTTCCAGAGGAGATTATCCAACATTACCGGACCACAACAGAGAATCAACGGCCTAGCTTCAGTTCGCCTCACTTTAGGGAACACCAAACGTTTTTCCTACAACACATAGTAGTATGGATCAAGTGAAAAGATCTGAATGTCTATCAATGCCAAGGTAAATATAGTAGGGCTTTATAGGTCAAACCATTATTTGAAGTTGGAGAACTTGGAATGAACTTGAAAATCTATTAGCAATACAGGGCCTAAACATTGGGGTAATAGTGATCAGCAACACTGGTAATTAGTAAGCAAGCCACTATATTCCATACCAATTACAACAGTCAAGTGGGCTTCAAAAGCAGGCCAGAAGAAGACTTTGCAACAATTTAGCCAAGTAATAATGAGGTAAGATGTAATTCTGTGAAATCTCTGTACTTCTGGTAGAGCTAGACCTGAAACTAGACAAAAGCTTCTTGGCCATATCTCTACCAGCGCATCCAGCAATTACTATGAATCCAGAATGACTTCCCAGTTATCAATCTACTTCTCACAGGTAGTGCTTCCTTTTTAGTGAATAGAAACCACAAAAACCAAATAGCAATTTTTGGGGTTCATGCTTCAGACATCAACATATGTCTGTCCCATCCAATCCCATTCCTAACTATTTCCAAACACTTGACCAGACTGGGTGGGCTATGTAATTTTCAGTATCATTTGCATACTCAGAACACTTCACTTTAAACCAAGAATGATCTCTTCCATGTCTTTATGCAGATGTTGAAAAGTAATAGGAGAGGATTAACCCATGAGACATCCTTAAAACTATTCATTGGGTTAACCACTCTTCCCACAAAATCAATGCCTGGAATTACTCTGTAAGGTAAGAGTGGAACCATGGTAGCATGTTGTTCCAGATACCCAGTTGGAAGGCAGGATTTTAGTAGTGATGGCATCAAAAACAGCCAAGGAATCTAAAATATTCAGAAGAGGCACACTTCACTCAGTTAAGTCTAGACAAAGGTATGCTGCATTGAGAATGTAGTTTATTGCATCCTGTCAATATTCACATGCTAGCAATAAAATGTATATTCTAAACAATGCATTTGGTTATGACATTTTTTCTCTTTATGCCTGTAGTATAAATTTAACACTTATGGAGTTCAACCTTTTTATATGGGCTTGGAAGACGATAGCAATGCTCATGGAGTCCTATTGTTGAACAGTAATGGAATGGGTAAGTTGTTGTTTATTTCCTAGTGTCTATTCCAAACTAAATAATTGCCCTCAGAAATCATGGGCACTTCATCACTGGAGTTTTTAAAGAAGAGATTGGACAGCCACTTGTCTGATATGGTATAAGGTCTCCTGCCAGAGCAGGGGGCTAGACTGGAAGACCTCCAAGGTCCCTTCCAGTTCTATTCTACTCTAAACTAGTGCATATCATATTAGTGAACATTAATTCATAGGTCAGATGAGACTCAGCATGAGTTTTGCCAATCCCTGCAATGTTCATATTGCCAGTATGAACACATCAAATCCTTTTTTTGCTTAATATTCATTTATCTGTAAACGAAGAACCTAAAACCACTTACCATTTCTATATTAAAAAAATAAATCTGTCAACCCAAATGTTTTAGCGTACATTATTCCAAGTTAAACAATAGATTACTATTATTTGTGAAATAGCTTATCCAAAGCAAATAATTTGATACAGCTACATGGTTCTTCTTGCTGGGAAATGTTAGCAGATTAGATGCAGCACATTTCCTGCTATTTCAAGAGAGAAGATTGTACATCAGGTTGCTCAACTCAGAGATGAAATGACAGAGAAGTGATTTTCATTTTTATTGATTGGTTTTATATAACAGTATTATCAGGTCTATGCAATATTTTATTTCCCCTTTGTGAATTTTCAGAGGTAAAATTCCAGCCAACTCCTGCTTTAACCTACCGTACCATTGGAGGAATTTTGGACTTTTATATGGTTTTGGGCCCAACTCCAGAACAAGTTGTTCAAGAATATACCGCAGTAAGAACCTGTATTACAAAATAAATCTACCCTAAACTATGATTATAATATTAAACCAACACAACAATCACTGTATAATCCCTATTTCTTTTTGTTTGTTTTTATTAGCTCATTGGACGTCCAGTTTTACCTCCATATTGGGGTTTGGGATTCCAGTTGTGTCGATATGGATACAAAAATGATGCAGAAATATCTGAATTGTATGATAACATGAAAGCAGCTAATATCTCATATGTAAGTTATTCACAAATAAGCATTTTTCACAGCTTTCTATAAAATAAAATAAAATAAAAAATGTTATGAAATTACTTGACTTATGCAATTACTTGAAGCTATGCATTATCATTGTGCTAAATTATGGTAGCATGAAACAAAAACTTTTCTAGACTTACTAAAACATCTAAAAGCTCTAGATAAATATTTTAAAAGTCAGCAATTCAAAAGACATTTTAAAAGAGAAGGAGATCAATTGTCTATCTGACAAAGTTGTAAAAAGCTATTTCTTATCAGTACTACCAGTCTAGACACAAACATGTATTGGGTTTAGCAGAAGTTCTAAAAGACTAATGTTAGTGGTACAGTAGTCTTTTGCTCCTTGATGTGTTACTTACTTACTTACTTACTTACTTACTTACTTACTTACTTCTTTATTTGAAAATGAATAATTTTAATGTGCTTGTTATAACAAAATACACATCACTTCACAAAATTAACTTGTTTTCCTTAGGATGTACAATATGCCGATATTGACTATATGGAAAGGCAGTTGGATTTCACTCTAAGTCCCAATTTTACAAATCTTCCAGCTCTGATTAACAGAATAAAAAAGGATGGAATGAGATTTGTCATCATTTTGGTAAGTGATCATCACTAATTGTTCTGACTAGTTGGTTAATATAACAATACAGACTCAATCATCCATCCATCCATTTTTCTTCACCATCCCAGTTATGACAATCTGTATTCCTTAATGGATTGCTTTGTTTTTTAAAATATCTGAGCACAGTCATTTCCTAGGGTTTCCCAAGTCTTAAGGGATATTTCAGTCTTCTTTGATTATATACAGCATATATATATATATATATATATATTCTTGACTATTTTCCCCAAAGTTATTTATCTGATTCTCTACACTTATGGATATTTCTTTCAGCAATTTTAATATAAAATTATCATTATAGTAATGCAACAGTATTCAACCTTGGCATAACCCTTTCCCAGTTTTGTAACATTTAGATTCTATATATTCTATATATTCATTTAGATTCTATAGATTCTATATATTCCATTCTAGTTGTTCTTCCAGAAAAGTTTCAACTGGTAGGTCAGTATGCTAAGTATACTCCTGTTTTACAAGCAAATGAGTCTTTTGTCTACTCCCATTCATCCAACAGATATTATTAACGTATTATTTTATTTTTATTTTATTTGTCAATCGCTAAGAAGATAATAGGTATAAGTATAAACGCGAGTAAGAATACAGGAAATAGGTACAAATAAATGGGGACAATAGGACAGGGACGGGAGGCACAGTGGTGCACTTATGCATACCCCTTACAGACCTCTTAGGAATGGGATGAGGTCAATAGTGGATAGTTTGAGGTTAAAGGAGTGGGGGTTTGAGGATGTAACAACAGAGTCAGGTAGTGCATTCCAGGCATTGACCAGTCTGTTGCTGAAGTCGTACTTTCTGCAATCAAGTTTGGAGCGGTTAACATTGAATTTGTATCTGTTGTGTGCTCTTGTATTGTTGCGGTTGAAGCTGAAGTAATCATTGACTGGTAGGACATTATAGCAGACAGGACATTGTAGCAGATTCTTGGATGCTTCTAATTCAGTTTGAGCATCCAGCAGATTTCATTCCAGGTATTGTTGAATGAGTTGTATAATGACTGTCTGTTTCCTGACAACCATATCAATAATCTGTTTTTCCCTACTATTTTGATTGTGAATGTGACTGCCGTTAATATGGTATCCTATAGGCTTCCTTTACTTTCCTTCCAGTATTTTTTACCATGATTTTTCTTGTGAGTTATAACTGAGTATGATAGAAGTGCAAGTAGATACATTCCTTTTATGAGCTGCTTTATCTGAATTGTGTTATTTTTTTGATTGGGATTGATGTTGGAATGCTATATCTAAGCACTGAGGTTTTTCTTGCTTCCTGTTTTCACTATGATGATAGTGAGGATATAAAATCTCTTAAAATTAACCTTTACTTCAGTTAAGATTTGAATGAAATACCACTTCTAAGAAAAAGAGCATCACCTATGTCTTTTTGTTCTCCTCTGCTTCAAAGTCCCATTTACTCTTTCTAGCTTATCTTGTGCTGTTCACTATAGAGTAGGTTGTGAGGAAAGTCTCTAGAGCTTGCTCTGACAGCCCCAAAGTGGAAACATTTTTAGACAATGTGAAGTTCTTCCATGAGAAAGGCATGTTGCCTTTCTATATCAGGCTGATTTGCAAATTGTCAGGGAACTGTTTAAATAATCCCTTCCATTTAACTGATCTCATCATAGAGGTCTAGAACTCCAGTGTGATGGTTTGGACATCAGCCTAGAAAGAGAGTGATTATAAGTTCTAATCCTGCCTTAGTTACAAAGCTAGCTGGCTGACATTGGGTCAGTCACTCTCTCTTGGACATAGGAAGAAGACAATGGCAAACCACTTCTCAAAAACCTTCCCAAGAAAACTGCAGAAACTTGTCCAGGCAGTCAATATGAATCAATACTAATTCAAAGGAAAAAAAGGAAGGAAGGAAGGAAGGAAGGAGGGAAGGAAGGAAGGAAGGAAGAGCAGTTATATTTGTCATCTTCGCAGCTGATATATTTTCATTATAGGATTGCCTGTGCTATAATGTTGGACTTCATAAGTTTAGATGTAAATCTAACGAGAATACTGTTTTCATTTCAGGATCCAGCCATCTCAGGAAATGAAACTAATTATCCTGCTTTCACAAGAGGACTTCTGGATGATGTTTTCATTAAGTGGCCTAATAGCAATGATATTGTGTGGGGAAAGGTAATATTTTAGATACGTAATATTATGCCTTGCGTTTGTGCCAAAGAATAGCATTCAATATAGCTTATGATATTCCTTCCTTCCTTCCTTCCTTCCTTCCTTCCTTCCTTCCTTCCTTCTTTCCTTCCTTTCTTTTTAGAAGTTGCCCAAGTCAATTGATTCTGGACAGCTAATGATATGAACCACCAATAAAAATATTCCCAATAAGATGGCATGATGTTATAAAATAGAACTAAACAAAAAAGAAAAAGTTCTGGTTATAAAAACAGCTAAAGAAAACTATTCCTAATTTCAGGTCTTACAGAAATAGTCATGTCCTTGATTTCATTTTAAGATTTCAGCACAGTCCAAGCAAGATTGAGTGACTTTAGGATGTTTTTCCTGTTGATTCCATAGACTTTTAATATTTGAATGTGGGTATGATAGCACTATCACAGACAGACACAGTGCACAATCTGGATGTCCTTCTGGACTTTTGTCTGTTGCTTGGAGAGCAGGTGGAAGACATGACTAGGAGGACCTTTGTATGATTATGCATCATTTGCACCCATTTCTGAATTATGTGAATTCCTGAATAGTCTGAGGCAACAATCATTCAAGCTCTCATGATTTCCAGGCTAGATACTAAAACATGATGTTTATGGGTCTGCCCTTGAAGAACTTTCAGAAACATCAGTGGATGCAGCATGCAGTGTTGCAGGCAATGCATGGCATTGGTTATTTAGCATTGCAAGCTACAGTGGCTATCAGTGTGCTTCTGTGTGCAGTTCAAGGTGCTGGTTACTACCTGTAAGGCCAGTCATAGTTGGGACTGGTTACTTATAGGACTGCCCAGATGTTGTTAGTTGATGAAAGTCAGTTGGTAGGAACCAAAAGGAGAGCCTTTTCTGTCATAGTGTCCAGGTCCTCGGAATATCATTCTTTCTGTGATTAGGATATCCATTTCCTAGCATTTTTTGTGGCCTTAACCAGTTTCTGGATTGGACTTGGGGCCTTTGATGTGTGATAGAACCCATCTCTTGGCTTTCTTGTGGTCATTTTATGATATGCTCACCTGTATTTTTATATTAAGTATTTTGTTAGTTTTATCTGTTTTATTACATGCTACCTAGAGTCACATATTCTGTGTGAAATGGGTTCCTATACTAATCAAATAAACTAATATGCATGCATGCAAGTATCCAGAAACAAATGTGCATCCAGAAACAAACACAATTAAGCAGACAAGATGGATTTGTACAAAGTCCTTCCAGGAGAAGTCATGAGTCTAAGAGGACCCATAATTGTTCACCAACTCTGTGGGAGTGCTTACTTCACCAATACCAGAGATGGAAAATCTTCAGATCCAGGGGGCATCTTAACCCACATCTCTATAATCTTGCTAAGACTGAGTCAAAGTCAAAGAAAAACTCTGAAGAACAAATTTTGGGTAGAAAGAGAAACTGGAATGTGGCATGAATATCAAATTCTGAGGCTACTTTCTGCAAAAGAGCCCTTCCTGTTTCTGTTACATTTGCTGATGCCTCTCATAGCCATATTGTGATTGTTTACCACTTCCTCTTACAAAACATCAGCTTCCTTTGACTCTTGCCAATGCTCCACATTTTAAAGTACAACATCTTGCAATCAGATAGCATACTTTTCCAAATAAGTAACCATCCCAGACATCAAGGGTACTTTATCATAGTGCTCAACAGTCTAAAATCTGTTCTGCCAGCCTACTTCCCACTACCACTTATGATCTTGACATCAATCTCCCACTCTTTCTGCTCTTACCTGCATTGCTGGAGGTAAAAAAAAAATTTCCCACTGGGAGAAAACCAGCATAGTTGTATCCTTCTCTGACCTCAGAGCAGGCAGCGGCAACAGAGATGCAAAAAAGAAAGAAAGACAATAACCAAGATAGCTGTTGCATTATGTATGCCAACTACACAATAGCTGGAAGATACAGCTTTTTTTTTTTTTGCTGGACCACCAATATGTCCCTACTCCCATGACATACAAAAGATGAGCATCCTTGTACCACCATTCCCTCCATCGCTCAGGTAAGAGATAAATTCAGAGCATATATTAAACCATCACTATTATTGCACCCTAAGTAACAAGGATTTTCATTTTCCAGTTGCACCACTATCTCCTCAACAACCAAGCTGGAGGACTCTAGCTTAGAGACACAAGTGCCTTATGCCCTTTGCCTTATTTTTTTATGTATCCCCCCCCCCCCCTTTGGTAACAATGAAAGGCAAACAAATTTTTACAGTGGGTTATTTGTAAGAAAAAGTCTTCCTTTCCTTTAATTAGTTTATAAAGCTAATTATTTTTATTTTTATTTATTTTAGGTGTGGCCATATTTACCTAATATTATTATAAATTCATCACTCAGCTGGGATGATAAAGTGAAAGTAAGTGTAATACTGCCTTGGTAAAAAGATCCCAAGCAAATTCTTATACTAATAAAAGCTTAACTCTGGCAGTAATTTTAGTAATAGCAATTATAGCAAAAAAGCAATGTAACTTCAGTCATATTGTAGAAAATCTGCAATTGGAAAAAGCTGGATGAATATACTCTGATCTGTAGGATGTTGGCACAAGTATAATCTCTGAATGCCTGATTGGTCAGTTCTCTGGTTTATTTTTAGATACATTAAAATTATATTAAAAATCACAAAGCTTGTACCACATGGGGGAAGCATTATTAGAAAAACACAGCAAAACTACTGGTCCCTGAATCTCACAGCAATAGATACAAAGGTTAAGATCCAAAGAACTTTGAAACTCATTTATAAGCCCATTGGAATTTATATACATCCCTTCACAATCCCCCTTATAATGAGGTAAAGTCTCTTGATTGCTTTCTATAGTATTTAATACCAGTGCCTGCTATAAAATACTAGCTGCTAGGATGCAGTAGTGGAAAAGAACTATTGACACAGAATGCTTGACCAGTTGACACCATTCAGCAGGCTTTTCTTTCATACATACTGCATGAGAAGAGTTTCAGAAAAAGCCTGGGATTTTGTTAGAGAATGGGAAACAATTCTAGTGTGGGAACATTCAAAACCCCATTAGGCATTTTATGAGTCCAAAAATGGTCAATGATACATGTTTAATCATAAGTAAGCTCTGTTGATTCTGGGTGATTTATTGGAATTGGGTAAGTCTAGTTTAATGGGAAAAAAGTTCTAGGGATGACATGATAGCAGTGTTCCAATATCTACCGTGTTTCTCATATAATAAGACGGGGTCTTATTTTTTTTGAGCCCTGAAAAAATGGCTAGCTTGTCTTTTCAGGGGTGACTTAATTCCACCCCCCCCTTGCATCTTTGGGCGGGTGGGTGGCAATGGCTTGGATGTTGACCTCGGCGTTGGTGGGGCACTTTGTATCAGGATCAACACAGGCAGCACCATATCCGGGTGTGCAACAAGAGTACTTCCTAATGGCAAGCCCCGCCCACCACTCCCCCCATTTCTCATGTTTTAATATAGGCCTTAATTTGGGGAGAGGGGCTTAATTTCATTTCATGCCTATAAAACATGCTGGGACTTCCTATTGGGGGAAGCCGTATTGTTGGAGAAACAGGGTAAGAGGCTGCTACAAAGATGAAGGGGGTCAACCTATTTTCCAAAACACCTGAAGACAGATGAAGAAACAATGCATGGAAACTAATCAATCAGAAAACCAACATAGAAATAAACAGAAATTTCCTGAACAATTAATCAGTGTGGGCTTGCCTTCAGAAGTTGTAGGTGTTCCATCACTGGAGGTTTTTAAGAAGAGATTAGACAACTACTTGTCTGAAATAGCATAGGGTCTCCTGGTTGAGCAGGGCTTGGATGAAAAGATTTCCAAAGTTCCTTCCTACTCTATTATTCCAGGAACAGATGTTATAAAGATTCCAGGAACTATTTAAAGGCTATGCATAAAGTTATGGATATGTTATGTGAAGTGAGCCTAGACAATGTTTTTAAATATGTACAATGAAATTATCATGTTACTTTTCTGAAATCTTATTAATGTCTGCCTATTAAATGTGCAGAAGATATAAAATTGAATAGAATATATTTATCACACTGATGATGTTACCTAGTGGAGTAATGAAACATTTGGAAGCCTACAACCAAGTTCAGAAAGCACCAGAGGTCAACCCTGAACTACCAATATTCTCCTCTATTGAGATATAACATAACCTTTAAAAAAGCATAACTAACATTCAAAATACCCTTGAAAGTTGAGGTAATTAATCAAACATAGGATGCTGAAGTATTGCAGACAGAAATGTGAAGTTCTTCATTTAGAAAATAGAAGTCACACTCAAAGAAACAGAATTGAGCATGCCTGGCCATATCAATTGTCAAAAAGATTACAGTAATAAATTATAAATTGAATATGAATGAACAGTGTGATGAGATTGCACTAAAGGCAAATGTCATGTTAGGCTATATCAACAGAAGTTTAGTTTCTAATACATGGGACATTTTGTTTTTTCTTCACATTTTTTGCTTCTCTTCAGTTTTACAGTGCTTGGACTGCTTTCCCAGATTTTTTTCGGAAATCTACAGCTCAGTGGTGGAAAAAAGAAATTGAAGAAGTCTACAATAACCCCAGAGATCAATCACAAAGCATCAAGTTTGATGGCCTATGGATTGTAAGTTTCTGTCTTGTATGTTTTATCTGATAAATTTAGTAACATTATTTCCAATTCATGCTTTCTACATTAATCAGCATTTTCAGACATCACATTTAGTTTAACAGTAAGAAAATATTATTTTCTTGCTACATCTGGGGAACTTGGTAATTCCCACTAATTTTCTATTCCCAGCCATTGTTAATGCAACTCACATGGAACGCTTTAGTTTGGGAAATGGATCTAAAATATAGAAATTTGATAAACAAACCAACCAACCAATAAATAAAATGAATAATGCAGCTGACATGCATTATGAGGAAGTAGATTGTGGTTTTATTTTTTTATTGGAAGGAATGGGTAAATCCATTTAGAAACAAATCTCATCCATGTACCACTTCAATATGCTCATCCATAAGTGTATGACATTCTATTCCATATATACACTGATTTATATTATATACACACACAAACACACACTTAAATATCATTTGGAGCATTCTAAATCAAGTAGTCCAGGCAGTTCAAATAAATGTAAAGGTTTATTGCAAACTTATGCTCTCTACAAGAATCTTTACTAATGTATTGCCTGTTTGCTAATGGTCAATTTCTGTTATCTTGGACTTTATAGCTTACTTCAACATAGCACACCATTCATATAGTTTTATGAATAATATAAACTAAAAAAGAAGTAATATCATTTCATGCAAAATTTGCATACAATTTTCAAATGAATCATCTATCTATTATATTAGTTATACACTTCATAAAAGCTTAGTAAAATTTTTAATTAACAGTCTGGGTGTCTTATTTGTTTTATAATTTAAGGATATGAATGAACCTGCAAGTTTTGTCAATGGTGCAGTTACTGGTTGTAGGAACTCTGATCTAAATAATCCAATATATATGCCAGGTAATTAACATTATAATACATTATAATAATTTTAATTTTTTGGAATGTTGGTAAATAAAAAATATTAATAGATCCTAAATTTAAATTAAGCCAAACTTTCTAAAATGAAAATGTTTAGGTTCGGTCAGACACATGATGCTGGTAAATATATTTTGGAGGTAGTTCTATTATTCTAGCTCTTCCATATACTTTTGGCTGAGTTCGTCAAAAAATTGATTATGCACATTGTATTTACAATATTTTACTGATCTGAAATTACTACAGGCCAAGCCATATAAAATATTTTACCTAAAAAAGTAGAAATTTACGTTTTTAAATTTCAGACATAGCTTTATATGGTTCTATTAACTTCCTTGAATTTATTTTTTAATTATTTTTATCAGACATTCTGGGAAAACATGTGGGACTGAATGAGAAAACAATTTGTATGGAAAGTGAACAAATTCTGCCTGATGGAAGCCCAGTTCGACATTATGATGTCCACAATTTATATGGGTGGTCACAGACTAAGCCTACCTATGAGTAAGTTATCTTTCTCTGAGTAGTAGCAACATTTTAATAGTTATTTAGTAGTTATAGTAGTTAATAAATTGAATCCTTATTTACTAGAGTTAATTTGCATGAGAGATTAAAAGTTTATACACGTACAGTTTAATTTCTTTGTTATTGTTTCAGTAAAGAGATAATATTTAAATATGTAGTTCTTTAAATTGCTCTGCAAATATTCAAATACTTTAACATTATAGCTAGAGTTATAGGATGAATTGTATGATAGATGTCTGCAATTGAAGATTTGTTGAAAAATGAACTGAATTTTTGAGCTTTAATTAATCTGTTAATTCATCCATCTCTATAACAGAAATTACTGACTATAAATGGCATATCCAAGAATGTAATACCAAGGGCAAGAGGTCATAATTTTTTAATTTTTATATTTCTATCCTGCTCTTACTTCAAGGAATTCCTTAATTTGACAAAGTCCAGCAAAAATATCTTTCCCATAAACTAGAATCAAACAAGTGAACTTGGGTATATTTGTCATTCCTTAATATTATGCTGTATAGCATTTTACAATATAGTCTGGTACAGTAGTGGGATTCAAATTTTTTTATTACTGGTTCTGTGGGCGTGGCTTGGTGGGCGTGGCAAGGGAAGGATACTGTAAAATCTCCAGTCAGAGGTGGTATTTGCCGGTTCTCCGAACTACTCAAAATTTCCACTACCGGTTCTCCAGAACTGGTCAGAACCTGCTAAATACCACCTCTGGAAATCTCAGATAACTACTTTCTAAATTTATCATTGGATCACTTACATTTATAAGGAAGAAATTGTCTTTAGTTTCCAGTAAAGTGCTAAAGTTAGGTTAGGCTATAACTTATTGTTCTGTTCCAGCTCCACAAACCGTCTGAAGTTAACTCAAATATTTCTTTATTAGGAGTGCCAGTAGCCCTGGCAAAAAGTTTCCCTCTCACTGTAGGATAACAAGTCTGCTCGGCAAGGAGATGAATCTCCTTGTCTGCCACATCTACTCATCTCTGATCCCTGCTTTTTATCCCCAGAGCTAGGGTGGGGTTGTTAACTCTCCATTTTAGGGCTGATGGATGGCCCATGCTTTGCCCCCCGCCTCTCTCCCTCCCTCCCTCCCTCCCTCCCTCCCTCCCTCCCTTTCTCTCTCTCTCCCTCCCTCCCTCCCCCCCTCTCTCTCTCTGCCAGCTCCATTCCCTCTTCTCCCTTGAAGCTCTCAGGTTGCCTTGATGCTGACCCTGACTCCCATGCCTCCTCCTCATTTGATTTGGCTGCTGAAGGGGCCGGTGGCCAACAAGCCACAACACTTACATACAAAAGTTGGCCTAAAATACTTTCCTATCTGAGTTAATGGGCTGCTGCCATTTCATGGATTGAATATTTCTTTAATACCGATAACAGGATTCTCTATTTTATTTGAAAATAGCAGACTAGTTAGGAGGAACAAGCCATAATTCCAACTCTACAATCACAGCATATTGTAGCTGCTTTTTCAAAATAATATATCCTATGTGGTTTATAGACAGGTTCTAGATATGCATAGGGGGTATTTAGCTATATTGAAATCTGTGCTCAGCTAAGAAACTTGTAATGTTCCTTCACTGTTTCCTTGTAATAACATTATTAAGAAAGAGAATGTCCCCTCTGCCCAATTTAGACATTACAAAGTAAAAAGGTTAATTTTCTACGTACCATGAGTACTATACAACTTCAACCTTCAATAGAAGTCGAGTGCCATGGGAACATTTACCTTTCCAGTTTGACTGGCCTTTTATGCTTTCCTGTCTTCTTACTAAATCTGCAAGTATATTGGGACAGAATATTAAGAGACCCACCTAATTGTGAGTGATTATTTGTACATATTTCCTCGTAAAATGTTATGAAATTGCTGACCTAAAACGACCCAGCTAATATTTTGAATACAGCTCAATATGGCTGTTTATGCCCATGTCATCAAATTGTCCTGGTGTTTTCAGATACAGTTTATTGAGTTTATGACATGGATTCATTCTGAAGCATAATCTGCAAAGGCCAACTTGAGACACTCCTGTGTGATGAACCAGCCATGAACTGTAATAAAAAGGACTCTGCCATTCATTGATGACATGAAACAATTTTCAACTTCTCAATATGCCATTAAGAGTATAGCACAAGGAATTGGAGAAGAAAATAACCTCTTGTTTCAAGCTTAGTGTGTGATGGACTGCTTTAATTAAAAAGCTGGTATTATTTGGCTAGGATTCCATGTAGGATATCCAGAATGATTGTTTTAAATTAAGTGCTCTGTATACTTGTTCGTAAATTAATAATCTTAGCAATTCACTTTTTAAAAAGGCAAATGTTAAAGAGGGGCAAGAAGGTAGATATAAAGAAAGAAACAGAGAAATACTATAGCTTTAACAATGTATTTTGTCTGTTCCCAAACATCTTTATGACACACAAATTCCTGATTGAGATATTTTGTGTTTGAAGCAATGCCAGATCGAAGGATAATATATCTAGGTTGTTTACCCTTCAATTCAGTGAACAGAGAACAGCCTTTCCTCCAAATTAGTCATAATGACCTTTGGATAAATTTCATTTTGCCATGAAAAAAAGAGAGGGTCAAAAAGATCACAATGTTCACCTGAGTGAACATTGTATCTGGTGGCGTTCTAATATTTCACTGACAATCAGAACTTTTACAAAACTGCTGATGAGAAAGGAATGAATTTCAGATTTGCCTATTGCCAGCTAGATCAAATATTCCTTGAACGTCATCAGCACACAATAATTCAGTACTAGAAGTAATGATACCTTAGATGAAGCTGAAAATGAAGGATTAAATTTTGGGTTTGTGTGTGCCTGTGCATACTCATTTCCTCCAAAATAATAGTAATAATATAGAGAATAAATGACAAGTTCATCTGACTCTTATTTATTTATGAAATCTTTCCTGATTTATCTTGTACTTCACTCCATGATAAATTCTATTTTGAAACTGCAAAAATAATATACAAAGGTTAAATTGTCAGACTTTAAAACAGAGCCAGAGTGAGGGAGAGTACAGAGGTAAAATCACTGAAAGGCCAAGTGGAGCACCAACACAAAACACAACAGCCTATCAGAAGGAAGGGGGGAAATTAGTCTGATCTCTTTAGATAAAGGTTCAGTAGAAAGCACAGGAAGGTTGGTTCCTGTGTTGTCACCACTTAGCTTCTGTTGCTAGAGAGGCTTATAGGAAGGCTTTCAAAGGAAGTGATAATTTTTACAAAAGTTCAAGTGGGTTGGAGGTAGAAGTGAACCATTGTCACTGAAGATGTGACAATGGTTCACTTTATCTACACACACACACACACAAACTGAAGATGTGTAATTTAAACCATGGGAATATAATATGGTCAATCAAAATATACATTAGACTGAATTTCATTTCTTTGTGTAAAATATTCAGAGAGTTGCTCAATTTTTAAAATTACCATGCCAGTAGCACTCATTAAACAAAGTTATACAAACAAAATCCCACCACATATAATTAAAAATATATCTAATTAAAAGAAACCAAATGTATGTGTACCTTTAAGCTAATTATATGGCTGCCCATCCCACAGAAGTGATTCTGAGTGACGTATACAGATTAAAAATGAGGGTCAGAGACCCATCAGAGACAAGAGAGAGAAATTCTTACAAAAGTCAGATATTACCATAAGAAAGGTTCATCTCCCAAATCCCCTCAGATGACATTGCTTGGACCATGTCCATTTTGTCAGAATTAGTAGGATGGTCAGAAACAGCAGGTCCAACAAATAACTCAGTTTCATACCGTACAGACTTTGGTAGGCAAAAATAACCACCTTGCTGCACACCCAGAAACATTTTGGGAGTCAGTCCAATGGTACTGCATAAGTGTGTCCACATAGACACACACACACACACACACAAATCTGAACTTTCTAGAAATGCAGAACACTTTACATAGGATTACCCTTGAAGAGTATTTGGAAGCTACAACAGGATTCAGGTTACTTGAGAAACCATTTCACCCCACAGGCTTGTTCACCTGGACCAGCAGAGACCCCATCAACCAGAAAATTTTAGCTAGCAGGGTCCAGGAGATGAGTTTTCTCCACCATGGCTCCTGCCCTTTGGAACATCTTATCTCCTGAGATAAGATCGAGTTCTACCCTTTTCACCTTCCATAAGGGCTGAAGACCAGGCTCTGCCAGCTTGGTGCCCAATGGGGGAGTATCATACTGGAGGTGGTTGGTGCATTAAAACAAAATCCCACCTCTCCCCGCCCCTATATATCCAGCTCCTTCTCTTCCCATCTTCTAACTGTAACATTACTTTGGATTGTAATTCCATTTTTTCATTGTTTTTAGAAATATTTCTTTTATTTTTATATTGCTTTTAATGTTATAAGCCATCCAGAGTCACTTCAAAGTGAGATGAGCAGCCATCAGAACAAACAAACAAATAGACATCTACAGTATATACCATTCAAAGGAGATGATCAGCAAGCCGAAAGGAAACCATTTCAGCATCAGTCAACACCCAGATGAGCAGAGATTAATACCAAGATTAACATTAGATGAACAATCAAGTTGCAAATAATACTCTTATCAAGAAACAACCAAACAAGCTAATAGTAAAAAGCCAACCAAAGAACTACCAAGATCCCTCCCATTAACACTGACAGGGCAAGCTACCAGAATATAAAATGAGAGCAAACGTCAATTCTGACTAGCACTGATAATGTTATCTTGTTTGGGTAATGAAATGTCTGAATGAAAACAATTAACCTCAGAGAGCACCAAGGACTCTTCAAACATTACCTTGTCTAGAAATCAGGATATATTTGGACTAAAGTTATGATAGGTGTATTGTATGTATGTGTGTGTGTGTGTGTGTGTGTGTGTGTGTGTGTATGTATGTATGTATGTATGGCAGAGCCATACTTCCACTCCCTGTTGGCTGTTCCTCCTCTCCCTCAGAGTCAGTCTCCACCAGGGGCATGA